GGGGATTGTGTAGAAGACTGCTCCTCAGGGCCGAAGTCGACTTTAATGAGACGCCTCTGCTGACTTGACCATCTGTAGCACGCAATCTGTAGACGTGATTTGCCCGGCTCTGCCTCGGTACTAGCCCTTATCGAGCCTCCCATAAGGCTCATTTTCATCAATATGTCCGGGATGTCTTCTATCACATCTCTATCTCCTACTTCTGCTCCGTGTCTCTGACCATGGTCTAGCGATGTCTCTTCACTGCATACTAACGCATTTCTATAGATACAAGTGTTCACGGCTTTTTGTGCCTAAGAATCTGGTTACAAATGTAAATAACTAAATTTAGAACAAGGTACTTATTGTATGCCATGGATAAAGGAAGAGGGAGAGAGAATGAGAGAGAAAGAAAGCAAGATGAGGCAGAAGGGGAAGAATTCAATTCAGATGGGTAGATTCTGAAAGTATGCTGTCATTCCCCCTTTTCCCGTTTCCCACCTCCCCGCTCCTGGCTCTGGCCCAGCCACTCATCATTTCTCCCGTTTTCTCGGAAGAAAATGAGTCTTTCTGAAAGTTGCGACAAGAGGCAGGCACGCGTAGCACCGACCGTTCTTTAGCTCTGAGTGCCCAGTTGGCTGGCCGACCTCGTCCGTGTACTGGCCCAGCAGCCATCCGGTCAGCTGCCTGCCTCATCTTTCCTTCCTTGCGAGTGTCCAGTCTACGACCGGTTGCGTGACCCTCGGCCCGGTGGGCCAGTTTGTCTTAAAGTTGCATGAGGCGCTGCCGCGTTTAGGCCTGACGGCTTACCGGTCGGTTCGTGCGTCCACCTCAACCCACCCCCGGACTCTTCGGTGTCTGTGTTAACCAAGACTCCTGTGCCAAAACGGAAGACATGCGGTGCCGGTGCCTACCGGTCCGAGGATCGAGTCCCCACCCCGTCGACAGCCGGACTCATTCCGTCCCTCCTCCCTCGCCCAACTGGGAAACGCAGACCGTTGGCAAAACGGCCAGGCCAAATGCCTCACTCAGCGACCGAACAGAAAGCCGAATTGGCGACTCAGCTGACGAGTATACGTCCAGTTGTCATATGGACACCTGATTCTGAGGGCTTACGTGAAGACGACACAATCGAGCGGGACGTATTTGCGAATCCATCATTTGTCAACCTCCCGGAGACATTGACACGAACTGCAGGTTCCCAGTGATCGACCCAGATAATCTGAGTGAAATCCGTTTTGTTTTCTTGGCGTCACTTCAATCCTACACGTCACAAGTAAAAGCATGATCGTGATTGCGTAATCCCAAATCTATGTCGGATTGAATTAATGGGTTCAAAAGATGTCTAGAATGAATGTGAATATGGTTATGACTATCACTGAGCCAACCAGTTAAGTTGCCTTTTTGTCAGTGTCTCCACACCCTATCACAATCAAGCAGTGGTACTTTTTTGTGTTGGCTCAACCTTGCTTTCGCAACTTGGTCGGAGCGTCGGGAGACCTTATGGAATGTACCTAGTCCCGTGTCCTCTGCCATAGTATTCGTGATTCCCAGCATTGGACCATTGGCTGGGTACATTCCCATGGTACATTTTGCCCAAATCCCTACCTTCATCTCGTACATAATCTATTAAATTCTATTCCGATCATCTATCTCAATATTCTTAGCTGTAGACACCAAAGATCATATAAGGCGGTGAAAGAATCTTCGTTGAATGTTTCCACAATTATATGAATACTAGATGTATTCACCCTATTTCGTTTAAGGTGATGAAGAATGAATACATCTCATATTACAGATTTACTGGTAGTCTCGAAACTCTAATTACAAACGAAAAAGAAGTAACGTAATCTACTGTTTTAGCAAAAATACGTTTGCTTCATCGACAGTTCCACCAAAGAATGTGATGTGGCAAAAGACCTGACCTTCCTTGAAATTCACATCTTCCCTGTGGCCCAAGGGGACTCGTGGCAATGTGGCCGAGTGGTTAACGTTTCAAGCTCCCATTCTGCACTGTCACGGTTCGACTCCCGCCGGAAGTGCTGATAAGACCGCTGCGAGGTCGAAATTGTAGTCCATCCTGGATGAGAAAGCTTTTGGTAAATCAGGGCTATGTGAAATTCAATGAAAACGTCAGCTTGACTTATATCATGTTGGGAAGATTCTACTACCAGTCCTTCATCCCCTTAAACGAAATAGGAATAATACATCTCATATAACTGATTTACTGGCAGTCTCGAAACTCTACTTACATACGAAAGATATGAATATGACTCACGATGCAATTGAATTCCACCTGGAATTACCTATTTTAAAGTGTTTTCGTCCAGGAGAGCTACAGTTTTCGCCTCGCTTGTCTCATTCTCATCCCCAACAGTAATCGAATCCAGGTAGAGAATGTGGAATTTTCGACATATTTTCACTGCGCCATTCTACCATTGGCATCACTGAGTCACAGAACAGGT